CCCAGGCTTCCCGCGGCTCGCGCGCTAGAGCCCCGCGGGCACCTCAGGGCGGGCACCCACGGTGGACACTCCACGGCCTGGCCCTCGATCTCCGCTCTCGGCCCCGGATCCGCCGCCCGGGCGCTGCAGCCTGCGGGCCGCGCTCCGCATCGCGCTGCGGCCGCCGGCCGGGCCTCCGCACCCTTCCCCCGCTCTCCGGCCTCCCATTCATTGCATCCGCTTCCCCTTCCCGGCTCCAGCCTCCCCGGGCTTCCCCCGCACATCCATGGAAGTTTAGGGCCTGGACTGCGGCCGGGAGAGCGCACTCGCGCCGCTGCCGCCCGGAGGGAAGATGTCCGTGCTCGCGCGGTTGATGCGCGTCTCCAATCGCTCGCTCCTCGCCTTCATCTTCTTCTTCTCCCTGTCCACGTCCTGTCTCTACTTCATCTACGTGGCTCCCGGCATCGGTAAGCACCCCGGACACACCCTCACTTCCCACGGGCGGGGAGGTAGCCCGCGGTGGAGGGATCCACTTCTAGCTTTGGAAGCTGAGCCGGCCGGGCGCCGGAGGAGGCTTTGGACTTGAGCCGTGATTTCAAATGTGTCAAGGAAACTGCTTGGCGGTGTGAGCTTTGTTAATATACGTTGAAACCGCTTAAAAGACCTCATTAAGTAGATGGAGCAGACGGAGGGCCCGGGGGTGCCTCCGGCTGCTTGGAGTATTCATGACAACTTTACGCACTTGATACCAGATCTTTAAGCTTAAGCTCAGTGCTAGTTGTAGTTTTATTTAGTCATCTTCATATACAATAACTGGTTGTGAAAATATGATGGGGCCGTGATGGAGGTCATGAGTGTACATGTACCAGTGTTGTGGGTCACAGTTTTAAAATGGGGTCAGTGAACTTTGTGCCACATTTCAGACATTTTTAGGCTGAGTTGTAAGAACAGTGCTCCATTGGGTCTGCTTGTCAAAGGTAGTTGCCTCTACGAAGCCTGTTAGGATGTCAGAGAAGATAACATAGTAAAATAATTATGTAAGGCAATTTACAGTTTAAAATTTTAACTTTCTGTTCCCACTATTTTTGACCTTTGGTTCCAAATACACTTTTACATGATCTGCTTGAGCTGCTTTCTTTATTAAATACCTCAATTTCTCATTCCCCCTCTTGTTGACAAGGAGTCCATGTGACCTTGTCCTAATGAATGAAGAATTCTAAGAGCTTATGTGGCTATTAAAACACATTCTATTTCCTAAACCTGACTGAGTTTCCCTGGGTATTCTGCATTTAATGCTGAATGATATTAACAGCGGACATTCTCCCAGTTCTTGTTAGACACAATGCTGAATGAGATTAACAGTGGACATTCTCCCAGTTCTTGTTAGATACTTAGTTTACTTGTCTTTTATTTATTATTACTACTACTCTTATTCTTACTCTTATTCTTTTATTTCTCCCTGTAGCCCCAGATGATCTGGAACACATTATGTTGACCATACTGGCTTGAACTCACAGAGATCCACCTGCCTCTGCCTCTGCCTCTTGAGTGCTAGGATTAAAGGCATGTTTAAAATGTCAAGCTTCTTATAGAGGAAAAGCACTTGCAGAATTCTGAGGAGGAATTCTTACCCTTGCAGAAGTTTTAAAAAGTGTAATAGATGGTGATAATGAATTGGTAGGAGAGTGCAGCCTCATTCAGTTTCATTTTCTTGAAGGGAAACAATTACTATGTGGACTGGGTGTGGTGACACACACCTTTAAGCCCCATACTCTGGAGGCAGAGGTTGGCAGATCTTGATAAGTTCAAGGCCAGCCTGGTCTGTGTAGGGAGCTCCAGGCCAGCCAGAACTTCTTAGTGAAGTCCTGTCTTAAAGAAAAAAAATCTATGTGACCTTTTATTTATTGGATTTAATTAAGAAGTATACACTCAAATAATGAAGACTTTGACATATCCCCAAATAGAAGTTTTAGGTTAAAGTTTGAAGGGGTATGAATATTTTAACATTATTTTCCTTTCATGTGGGTTTTTCTTTAGACAAAGAAGCACAGCAAATCCTTTGAAAGTACAAAGACAGCTGGCTAATGGTTACTCAGCAGTTTCCACATGCTTGATACTGCCTGCTTTCGGTGGGTCGTATTTTCTTATGAAAGCAACAATTCCCATTTTAGAAAAAAGGATACCAAGACTGACATTGTATGGCTTATTAACAACAGGTCATAGAACTTATTCAATATCACATAACTCATATGTTTTTCTTTTTAAAATGATTTTATTTATTATTTTTATTTTATTTTATGTGTATGAATGTATTGTCTGTGTGTAGGTAAGTGCACCAATGTTGTGCAATGCCCACAGAGGACAGAAGAGGCTATTGGACCCCCCTAGAACTGGAATTATGGACAGTTGTTAGCTGCCATGTGGATGCTGGGATTCGAACCCGGTTCCTCTGCAAGAACAGTCAGTGTTCTTAACTACTGAATCATCTCTCCAGCCCCTATTTTTTTTTTAATGGCTGAGATACAGGTGTGTCAACACTTTTCACTGGTAAAAAAAATCAAATCTCTTCTATTAAGAAGTCTTTATTAGCTCTACCATGCCAGCTAGTCTGTAGATGTTAATTGCATTTCACTATCTTTTCTGTCACTTGATGGATTTGATAATATCTCTGATGTTTAAGAAAGGCTTCTTAAACAAAAAAAATTTTTTTCTGGCTATTTAGAAGCCTTATAAATCTCATTTTTCAACAATGTTTCACTTTCTCATGTAACTTTAAAAGTTGGACATCTTTGGAGAATGTTATTTTACCAGACATTTAAAATTTGAGATAGTCTGAACAAGAATATTTAATTTTAAAAACCATTTATTTATTTGATTTTGTATGTGTGTGCAGAGGTCGGAGTACAACTTGCAGAAATTGGTTCTCTCCTTCCACTAAGCCATTTCACTGGTCCTTGGAAAAGAATCTTTTTGAACTTAAAATTTTCCTGTTTTCTTTGATGTTTTTTCTTTTCTTTTTCTCTTTATGATGCTGGGATGGTATCCAGGGCCTTGTGCATGCAAAGCAATCACTCTATAACTGAGCTAACGCCCCAACCCGTTTCTTCATATATTTAGTTACAAGGTAAAAACTTAGCCAAAGAAAGGCAGGCATGGTGGCACACACCTTTAATCCCAGCACTTGGGAGGCAGAGGCAGGTGGATCTCTGTGAGGTCAAGTCTGAACTGGTTTATATAGCCAGTTACAGGCCAGCTGGGGCTATAGGGAGACCCTTTTTTTTTTTTTTTTTTAAGTTAGCCAAAGAAAATCCAAAATTCCAGCTTTCTAGTGCCTTCATTTGTCACCTGTAGATTCTTTTTTTAAAAAAATTATTTTTAATTTATGTATGTGAGTGTTTTGTCTGGTCTACATAACGAGTTCCAGGTAGCAGCTACAGAGAGACTCTGTCTTAAAAAAAAAAAAAAATAAAAAGAAAAGAAAAAGTCATACAATGCTATGAATCTGTTACCCCTCCTCCAAACCCTGCGCCATTTAGGATAAAAAAACAAAACAAACAAAAAAACACCAAACCTGCTTTAGTTCTCATTTTTATCTTTAATGGGTAAGATTTGTAAAATCCACAGTGCTAGAAAGTTTAAATCTTATGATTGGCAACGAAAGCTGTCTGTTTTCCTTAGTGTGTCAGGTCACTTTCTTCATGTCTGGGAAATGTAGGTCAGAAGCACAGGTCTAACCACAGCATGTCCCACTGTTCTTTGAAGTGATGTGAAAAATGTGGTCAGTTGAGTTCCTGGTGCATCAGCCACCACCATACATCACCGTCATGTAGGCACTTTTGCTCCAGGGCCCTGGGCCTTGGTGTGAGCTGTGTGTGCACCTCACAGCCCACCACTGGACATAGAAATATACTTTAAAAATATTTTATTTATTTTAGTTTTATGTGTATGAGTGTTTTGCTTGTATGTATGTAGGTGCACCTGTGTCATGCAATGCCCACGGAGGTCAGAAGGTGTTAGATCCCCTGGAACTAGAATTACCAACAGTTGTTCGCTTCCATGTGGGTGCTGGGAACTGAACCTGGGTCCTCTTCAAGAGCAGCCAGTGCTCTTAACTGCTGGGCCATCTCTCCAGTCCCCAAGAGGTACTTCTTAAAATGCTTAATATTTGTACCTGAATTTCACCTTGGAAGAAAAATTTCTTGTGACTAAATCATGCTGTATAGGAGTTCTTTTTTATTGGTTTTATTTCAAGCCTTGTCTGTGAAGTCCTTGAGTTGCACCACAACCCCTTTCTTGTTGAGTACATGTCTTTCCCTTTTGGGTCCAGACATGTTTTGTCAGGTGCCTTCCCCCCGATGGGTCTTCCATCATTTATTCATGTGTCTTTGGACTTCCTCACCTGACCTCCTCTCTCGTCTTCTTTCTTAGTGGATGGATCTATATTTTGTGAAATTTGGTTCATTTTCACTTTCTGGTGCTGCTCAGCATTCTCTCTGGTCTGTTTGGCTGTTAGTGATGAGTTCCGTGGCAGTCAAATCTTGTTATTTTAGAATGACTTTAAGCATTTTTCCTTAATATTTCTTATCTATGCAGGAAACATAAGATAATGTCTTTACACTCTGAACTTTAGTACTCAGGAGACTGAGCTCCCCTTGGACCCATCCACAGGAAGTCTGTGACACAGGGCCCTAGGAGACTGGAGCAGGCATTTTCCTTCTGTGTCTGCCTTTGTGCGTGGTTGCCAAGAGATGAATGCAGCTTCCTTCTGAGGCTTTGGGCTGGCTGGCAGAAGAGACTTCCACTTAGTTCTTAGGAAGCCATTTCCAGTATAACTTCCCATGCAGCAGTCACATCCTGCAGCACCTGGAGAAGCTGGAGAAGCTGGACATTGAGTCTGGTAGACAGAGATGATGAAAACAGACACCAGTGGTGATCAGCCCCATGAAAGGGCTGCAGAGCGCCCAGGGAAAACATGGACCGAGGGCTGGTTATGGGCTCTCAGAACAGCTGGTGGAATGGAATGGGCCACCACTGGGATCACTGTTTCCAACTGGCTATTCCTTAGGGTGTGGGGTGGCAGATGGGCGGCTTGAGAAAGGTCTTGGGGCCCTATTGCCCAGTGCAGTGCCTTGAGTTCACCAGCTTTAGAGCTGAGAACTGGTCCTGCCCACACAGCTTTATATTTAGCAGTGATAAAAAAGAAATAGATACCCCTATTTTCAGTGGAACAGTTATCAGGGAGGTTGTGAAACTTCCTTGGGGTAGGAGTTTACTCCCCTTTTAACTCACCAGAGCGTTTGACCTTTTCCTGGACAGACTGTTCTGTGAGTAGCAGGACTCAGCAGAAGTTCTGGAAAGGGAAATGAGACAGTCCTTTGTTTTAGAGTAATCCTAGCATGAAGGGTGTGAATAGAGGGCAGAAACAGTGACTGGGAGACCAGGCAAGAAGTTTGTAGTGTGGCTGCAG